ACTTTGGACACTGTCAGGACAAACTCCACAGCTGAGAAAGAAGAGAGAGAGTGATAGAAAAAGTGAAAAGAGAACAGGGAGATAAAAACAAAGGAGGTAAATGATGATTTTTTTTGTCATCTTCTTTTGTTCTTCTTTTCTTTCTCTTTTTTTTTGGGGGGGGGGGGTTCAGGCAACTAAATAGAGCTTCAGGAGATCTTCTCTTGCGAGAGAAAAAACAGAGAGAGGGAATGAAAGTGTGAGGCAGGGAGGGAGAAGAGAGAACAAGAGGTTACTATCGGTCGTTTACATGGGTGAGAATCCCTGTGGGTCCTGCTTCTTCCTCAACGAACGTGACAGCAAACTACCTCACACACACACACACCTGCCTCTAAACACAGTTTAACTATTTCACTAAACAAGTTTTTAATAAGAGAACTGATATGAAACTGTGAGGTGACTGTGACATCCTACGGCTTTATGGTTACACTCTACCAGTTTTCTTTCCTCTCTCTCTCTCTGTCTATGGGCTGTAACCGGGTGTTGAATCACACCTACTTAACCAGGTTAAAGTCCAGGTTACATCACTGTCTGAAGCCACGCTGCAAAGTTCTTCAACTAGGCAGATGACACTAAATAATGTTATAGTTTAAACCGAAATTGATCTCAGAGATAAGATGCTTTGAAACTTAAAAAATAAGACACATGAACAATTGAAAGATTGTACTAGAGACTCAAAATCATTGTTTCAAAATAGTTTGAGATGCACAAAAGCTGAACAAAATCAATATGGGTAAAAAACAAACAAACAAAAAAACCCACATATTAAGCCAGCAACAATAAAAATCGAAAACAACCTAAACAATGAAACTAACCTCAAATAACCTCCAACTCCCTCCAAGTCCAATGTTCTGTACAACTTGTCGCTGATTTGTTACCTTTGCCCTATAAACTACATCATGATCAAAAGACTTGTCATCCATTACCACTGCAAGCAACATTTCATCCAAAAAAAACTAAATGTCACCAACACCTTTGATTAACTTTAAAAAAAAAAAAAAAAACCTTCCTTGCACTCTGTAGTGCACATATTAAGGATACATAATGACTTTGACATGACAGTAAATCTGAACTTGGATTGCTGCTTAGAAAAAAAAATCCTTTGTATTTCAAGACTATGATTCAAACAGAAGTATCAATGGAAAATCACTCAACAGTGCACTTAAACAACATCTGCAAAAAAAAAAAAAAAAAAAAAAAAAAAAAAGGAAGATACTTGTGGACAGCATTTGACACAGTGTGACTGCAAGTTCATAATACACTTGCCTTGTAAGAGGAGGGGGGGAAAAAAAAAGTTCCACCCATCTTCTGTACCGTGTATCCTACACACAGTTGCAGGGTAACCTGATGCCTATCCCAGGGGACTCGGGGCACAAGGGGGGGGGGCACTCTGGACCAGGTGCCAAACCATCGCACACACACTCACACACCCATTCACGTACTATGGACAATTTAGAGACAACAATCAGCCTACCAACACATGGCTTTGCACTGGGGAGGAAACCGGAGAACCCGGAGGAAACCCCCCGAAGCAAGGGGAGAACATGGAAACTCCACACACGGGGCGGAGGCGAGAATTGAACCCCTAACTGATGAGGTCTGAGGCAAATGTTCTAACCAGTGTATCATTCAGAATGAGCAGAGGATTGTAATTTGGATAAAACAGACAGTAATATATATTTTTTTTGCAGTAAGGAAAATGAAAATGAAAATGCTTTCATCCAATTACATAAGAGGAGCCACTGTTCTTCCTTTAAAAATATTTATTAAACTGTCTTCAGATTTCATAGGTACATTATTATTTTCCACCAATTCCATCAAGCTAATGAGACCAGGATCTACTGCTCTACTATACTGTTGCAATGTGTTGTCCCAACATCACAAAAAGCGCTGTACTGTATGTTTACTGTCCAAAGAATTACAATGAACAATATACACAATTATAAAATAATTCCAGTGAGGTCCATAGTCAGCATAAAATGTACAAGCATGGGGAAATATAGGTGAAAGTTATTCCAACAGGAGGTTTTAGGAAGTGGGCTCTTCCTATTCTCTACCCAGCCTCAGTCATGAAAATATAGAGGAAGGGTGGTTTATTATACACAATATTGCAGAAAACATATGATTCAAAGCTAAAAATACTTTTTTTTTTTTGCTGAATGTGACTTCATGAATTACTGAACATTTTGTTGTTTCCCCTTGAATAGTAGTATTTACTGACCATTTGTTCCTGTTTGGTTCCTACTTATGTATGTACTAATCAGGTATCTATTATAGAAACTAGGTGTGTATCAGTAGCTGCGCTTATAGGTGTTTGAGTAGTGAATTAAAAACCTTTAGACAATTCATGGCAGATGAACTGACTGATCCAAATACTGTTTATCAAATCAGTTGATATTGTATTAACAGTTTGTTTCTCAGAGTGATGTCTGTAACAAAATGTCTACTCTTTTACCTAACTCTCTTTAATCCTGTAAACTCTAAAATTTAAAAGCCTTTCGTCATTCTGTGATTGCTGGAGAGTTGGAAAATGCTGGGTAAATAGTCTTTTCTGAGAGATAAGTTTGATACTGAGATTTCAGAAACACTGTTAGGTTGAACTGAGTTAGTTTCCAGGTGATGAAACTTAAAGTGCGAACCCCCCCCCCTTAGGAATAATGGTTAACATATTGTATTTAATGGCATGAACATGTATGCTGTGTTAACTGACATGACAATGCACACAACATAATCATAGAGAGTGCTGGTTCAGTTACTAAGAGGATCAGTATCAGGGATCGTATCGAGAAAGGAAAAAGTGTGATCAGTAAATCCTTACTAAAATCTTAGAATTCTGATTATCAACTGGTTTCACATCCCACATCTCCCAAAACACTGTGCTTTTCTGCCATTTTCCAACCACTTTTGTCCAGTTTTGTTTACTGAAAGTTCAGGGTGGACCTAAACAGAAATTAAGTACAAGACGCAGAATATATGTACGATACGCACCCTGAGCACCACTTTTTAAAAAAAAAAATTTATTAAGTACACAGCAGTTCGTTCACAGATTTTAATTTATTTATTATTTATTTATTATTTATTTTAATTTATAACCTATTTTATTTAGGTTGGAAAGGTGTGAGTGGCTGAACATCAGCTCTATATGTAAAAGAAGTCAACTTTCTAACAGCACCAGCTAAAAAGTTGGCTGCATAATATGGCTAACATAACAGAACTAAAATATATTCAGAGCACAAAGTGCTACGGAAAAAAAGGCTGAACTTTTTCAACACTGAGGCCTAAAGAAGACAAACAGGAGGTATGAAAGTCTGAAACTGAAAATGCAAATTCAAGCATTCAAGCAAGACTATACACACACACACACACAACCAGGGGGAAAAAGGGTTTTTTTAATGGTCTTAATAACAAATCATTGGTCAGGAAATTAGCAAGAATTAAACAAACAGGAAGTTATTATGAGATAACTTTTACTCTTTAATTTCTTTAAATGTTTAAGCCTTGTAGCCCTTGATGGGCTACATCAGGTGTAGCAGATAACCAAATAATCACTAATCTTTTCATTTTAAAAAATCCCAGAAGACATTTTTAGAAAATTTTGTACACCCAGACATTTGTTAGTTTGAATTTTATATTTTAATCATATATATATATATATATATATATATATATATATATATATATATATATATATATAGAGAGAGAGAGAGAGAGAGAGAGAGAGAGAGAGCAAACACACACCTACATAAATAGCTTATGAATATTTGTATAGTAAACAGAGATGCTAATAGGAGTGACATCTACTTACAGAAATATTTCCAAAGATTATAGTTTTCTAATATAACACTAAAGTGTGTTTTTACAGTAAACTACCATCTTCTACACAGCTGGCTACATCCAGCCTTAGCTAACGCCTTTATCTTCACATCTGTCCGGCTAGTCACCGGACCATTTCGGTGTCAACATAAGTGAAAGCTTGGAGTTATTAACTCAATGAAACAGAATAAGATAAATAAATAAATGAGTTAAAACACCTCACAAGCTATCTTATGTTTATAATCTATCTATCAGGTTAATATTGATATATGTCAGTGTGCTGTTTGTGCTTGGCATGCTAACTAGCTCAAGCGCGTGCTATTCAAAACGTCAGTGTCCAGCCACGCATACTTCCATACTGAATAGTACGTCATGGGAGCGCGCGCCACCTGTAGAGGTGACAGAGGTGACATACTATGTAGTACGCTAGTATGCGAGAGGCAGTAGAAGAGCTGCGTCCATGTATACAACCGCTCTAAAGATGTCAGGATAGTACACGATTCGGTACTTCACTAATAAACTGGATATATTGGAGTGTAAGGAATCTTTTAAGGAATCAAGTTTGTCTACCGGAACTGTCAAAACCTGATGGATAGCTAAGCTAAAGCTAAAGCTAACCAATCCAGCGACGCTAAACATGTATAAACGGATGTGTAGAGCTGTTAGCATGAAAACAGAGCAGGACGCCTTTAACCAGTTTCACTGTTCATCACATCGTCAGGACATGTGCAGTAATCATGAAGAAACCGTCTAATATCAGTGACTGTATGAGATAAACACTGGATATTTACCTGGACTTTAGGAAGCACAAATCCACTGCGAACTTTCCCAACAACCGGGTGAAGAAGCTTCTCTAATGACTGTTTCCTTTAGTTTTTTCCTTTCCAAAATAAAAGTCGTCTCTCAAAAATACACATCTTTTCTCTAACCGTTTTAAGTAAGTAAGTGTAAGTGAAGTGACATGTAGCCAAGTATGTAAATACTCAGAATTTGTGCTCTGCATTTAACCCATCCAAGTGAACAACCCCCCCCGCGTGACGCCCAGGGAGCAGTCGGGGGTTTGGTGCCTTGCTTAGGAGTCTCACCTCAGTCATGGTGTTGAGGGTGAAGGAGAGCACTGGTCATTCACTCTCCCCACCTACAATCCCTGCTGGACCTGAGACTCAAACCCACGACCATCAGGTTACAAGTCCGACCCGCTAACCATTAGGCCACGACTGCCCCTATATCTCTCATGTTTCTATATCTACATGGAAATCTATATCTATATTACTGTTTGGTAATTGTAATTAAGTTTCCAGTTATGTGATTCTCATCATGTTTTGTTCTGCATTTAAAATAAAAATTAATAACTTATTTTCACTCTGGTTTATCCTAGTCAGGTGGCTCTGGAGCCTATCCCAGGAACACTGGATGTGAGGCAGGAATACACTATGGATGGGACACCAGTCAATCTCAGAAGACCATGCACACCCACTCACACCTGGGGGAAATTTAGCATTTAGCAGCATGTTTTCAGGAGGTGGAAGGAAACTGGAGAACCCAGAGGAAACCCACAGTGAAGACTGGCACAGGAACATTAACACGAGCTCAGAATCAACCTCCAGACCCCTAGAGCTGTGAGATGGCAACTCAAATTAAATAAAATTTAGAAAAGAAAATACAGGGACCTGAAGTTTTACAGAGAGGGCAATAGCCATCATGTGGACAGCATTAGTCAGGAGGAAATATTTCTATTCTGTTCTGTTCTATTAAAATTGATTCAGGGTCCTTAGCTTCCACTTGTAACCCTTCATTAAGCACGATTCACATCTGACAAGAGTTTCTGGTAGATGAGGGGGGAAAATGGACTTCACAGTATGATCTGATCTCACATTAGTAGACAGGGATGGATGGATGGATGGATGGATAGTCAGTCCCAGAGGGAAATTCACAGATTACTTCAGCAATCCAAAAAGTGGAGTGTGCAAGCAAGAGTAATCAGAATAATAAAAATAAACATATTCAGTACAAACTTATAAAATATAATATTGGATATAAAGTGAATATAGCCTTCTACGTATGCATAAGTCTTCTGAGTAAACATGAAAAGTGTCAGTGCAATACTGGAGTATTAACAGTATAATGTATAAAGTGAGTATAATCTTATATACACAAGTCCTCTGAGTGATGTGAAAGCGTCAGTGAAGTACTGGAGGATTTATCCCCAGGGAAGATGAAGGATTAGTGTAACATATGGTGCATACATTACAATAAACTATTATGTCGAGTAATGATGCCTTAGATAGCATTAGATTTAAACTTTTTTTTTCAAAGTGATCTCATTACTATTCTTTTAACAGTGTATTACAAACGGACAGAAATGGATAGAAGAGAGAACATGGGCGCATCTGAAAAGTGAAGACCAAATGTACTCCAATGCCCTGTACTGACTGTGTTTGTTCTAAGAGTTCCCTTGCCACTAATGTGTCCTAGTGATCTTTTTTATAGAAACTTATGGAAACGGCCAGGATGTTGCTTATACATCATATGGCCAAAGGTTTGTGGACACTTGACCATCACACTCATACATGATTCTTCCTCAAACTGTTGCCACAAAGTTGGAAGCACACAATTGTTTAGAATGTCTTTGTATTCTGTAGTATTACAATTTCCATTCACTGGAATTAAGAGGCCCAAAACTGTTCCAATGTGACAATGTCACTGTGCAAAAAAATGAGGTTTATAAAGACATGGTGTGACAAGGTTGGTGTTGAAGAACTCGACTGTCCCACACAGAGCCATGACCTCGACTCCATTCATCACCTTTGGGATGAGCTGGAACACCGATTACATCCCAGACCTCCTCGCCCAATATCAGTGCCTGGCCTCACTACTGATCTTGTGTCTGAATGAACAAATCTCCAAAATGTAGTGGAAAGCCTTCCTATATGAGTGGAGGTTATTATCAGAGCAAACGGGGAGCTAAATCTGTAACAGGATGTTTAACACCACATATGGGTGTGATGGTCAGATGTCTACAAACATTTGGCCATGTAATGTAAATTCTGCCTCACATTATTATAAGTCTGGTTCATCCTGAAAGTGTAGACTATTAATAAACTGTAATTTGCATTTATGAAGAGTTTTGTGAAAATACATAAATGAGTTTAAGAATGCAAACAATACAATAATATTCCGTCTTTCATTCATTCATCTTCATCCTTGTTAGGATCGCGGTGGCGCTGGAGTCTATCAAGTGTGATGGGTGTGATTTATTTATTTTTAGCTTTGAGTTTGACCTTTAATTTTTTAACCTATGAACTATTTTTAGCATAGTTTTGCGTCATAGTCAAAAACATCTGAATGCAGGCAAATACTAAATTGGAAAGTGGCCCTGGACACACTGAAGACTCTACTATAACTTTAGTATTAGTTAAAGTTTGTTGTTGCCTTCCTTTGGCCTATTAGTGTTCTAGACCTTCGATTGTCTCAAATTTCTGTATGCTTTTGTTTCATTGGCTATAAATTTTTCAACAGCACTAAACCATCCCCTAAAATTATATTCACCTAGCCATCAGTTACAGCCCTGCTCCAATTCCCAGTTAAACTTCCTTATCAAGTGAGAACGCACATATTATGAGAGCTTTCACTTGTTTTTAAGTGTAGGCAATTGATACATCCAAATACTGCACGGGGTACTGGTATTTTGGAGAAAATATTAGTTCATTCTCTAAATTGAAGTCAATCCTGCGAGCTCAGCGTGGAAAGATGCCCCATCTAAAATGGCGGCGAAGTTGACGTGTCTGAAGCTACTTTCTATACTTCCGGTAGTTGCAGTGCGCTTCCTTGTGGTCTGAAAAAGAAACGCGAACTGAAAAAGTACCCTAATGAAAAATTGGAAGATGGTGATGAAGCGCACGCAAAGAAAAAGAAAGAAATGGGCTACTAATTACTAATACTTTAGTAAGAAATTAATGTTAACTAGTAATATTACTTTTAGTAGTATAAACTAGAAAGTTAGCTAGTCTCTGGGATAAAAAAACAAACAAACAAGCAAACAAAAACTAAAACGCATCATAATTGGGTCGAAAAGTGAACCATGTTTTTTTTTTTTTTTTTTTTTAAACTTTACTTAACTTTACTAAAATTAGTCATTTCTGTATATCTGAAATGCTCTTCTGAAGGTTTAATCTCATTTATTCAACATTCAGGTGTTAATATTGGCATTGTTAATAAGTCTTTTAATATAAACAGCAGCTGATGTTTTTTTATGTTAGCTAACTAGCTAGCTGTAGTCAGGTACAGCTTATTTTCATGAAACAAATTCATGCTGACAAAAACTAAAACATACAGAAAACACCCAAACACAGAGGCATTTATATGGAAAAGATATACATATATTTATTTTTAAATCTCTCTTCTGTTCAGGCACCTTGGTGGAACAAGTGCAGGAGATTCCTGGGAATTCAGGTACATTACAGTGGAATATGTCTTGTCATGTATAAATTAAAGATGTCTCTGCACTGGTCTAAAATATCTTAACCTAGAATTGAAATGGTCTTCATTCGGATTTTTACTGTTTGATTCACTACGTCTAACATTTGAAGGTGCAAAATATTTTTCGTTGTGACACAAAGGTTAATTAACAAAAATAAAAAGCCGACATTTTGCCACAGACAAGTCTAACCACAGAGTCTCCATCAGACTGATGTCCAGGCTTTGACTAACACCTTCATGTTAGTGAAGCTTCCTGTTGAAAGGGTCTCAAGTCGCCTTCAGACCGGAACTGCTTTCTTCTAGGATTGCCCTGTATTTGGCTTCCCTCAACGCTGACCAGTTTCCTGCTCCCTGCTGATGAAAATCATCCAAATAACACAAGGCTGCCACCACCATGCTTCACTGTAGGGATGCTTTTCTCAGAGTGATGAACAGTTTTGGGTTTCTGCCAAACTTTGGCCCAGGCCAAAAAGTTGGTCTTTTGGTCTCATCTGACCACAAAACCTTATTTCCAGTGACTGCAACATGCCTTCTGGCAAAATCAAAATGGCATTTCATGTGTCTTTTTTCAATAATACTTTATTTTTGCCACTCTTCTGTAAAGCCCAGTTTGTGGAGGGTCTGGGCTATACATGTCTTATAAAGAGCTTCTGTCATCTGAGCTGTGGATTATCCCAGCTCCTTCTGAGTTACCCTTTAACCTATTGGTTGTGTCTCTTTCTAATGTTATTCTTAGGCAGCCACTGATTTTTGGTGGAGGCCTTTTCTGGGATGTTCAAATTTTGGGATTTTATTTATTTTTTTGGTAACCAAACCCTTACTGAAACTTCTCCAGAACTTTGTCCTGGACTTGATAACTCCTTGAACTTCATGATGTTTATTTAAGTATGTTCTTAAAAACGTACATTACAGGAAGAGGTAACCATGTTACAACAAGTATATATATATTATTATTATTATTAGTATTAGTAGTAGTAGTATTGCATAAGTAGTTATTTATTGATGTTTATTAATGTCGATTTAGTTCTAAATAAATTGAATAAAGTGTTTGTATTATTGGGTTCTTTATTTATCTTAGTTTATCTTAATCTTTCAAGTGTGTGGAAACAAGTCAGCTTGTTGTCCTCAATCACATTATCCTGGCCAGTGAGGTATAAAGGGACAGATAGTTTAAGTTAGATGTGTTTTTAGTTCATTCACTTTAATACCTGTTTGTAGTAAAACAGCTTACTGGGATGGGCTTGAACCCCCTGTAGGAAAGCATCAAGAACTTAAACTTTATACAGATAGCTCCAGCAGGGGTCATGATTTCCTGTACTAGAGAGCTGGAATCCAGTGCAGTTTGTTGATTTCCATGCTTTAACTTACAAACTAAGCTTGGTACATAAATGGTGTGTTGAATTAGATTGTTTGAAAACAGTTGAAACAGGAAATTTGTTGAGTAAACTGCAATGTACTGCCTATTTTTGTATAATTTGAAGTAGTTTAATAATATAACGTGGTAGGATGTGTAGATTAGACATAACACTTTTTTATTTGTATTATTATTCAGCAACATGTAGATACATGATAATGAAAAATTGAATTTTAACTAAAGTCTACATCACAACCATTACCTATGTAGCAGGATGTAAAATGCGATTAACAAAAGAGGAATAAGAGGCATGTGTCTGATACGAGAGACATGCACGTAATACATATAACTGGAAGTTGTAAGGGTCCGACTTCAGAATGTCAGGTAC